GACATTAGCGTTGTATGACTCCAGTTCACAAAGGAGATCACATACAAGTCGCATATATTTGGAAAAGTGAACGGCAACGCAAAAAAATCGGATTTCACAAATAAAAATCGGAATTGAGCATCAAGGCCTGCAGTGTGAACGTAGCCTTAGAGCAAAGAGACTAGAGAGGAGACCCGCTGCCTTTTCCCATAGCTAATGTATCACCAATGCACATAGCTAAAAACATACACATTAAATAATCCAGTAAATATAGTTTTTATATCATCTTTTTTATGTCTGACACACTTATAAAATTACTCCATTACAAAACAGTTGGAATAACTTCTTTACCTGAATTTAGTCTCTTTGGTTGAATGAAATGTAGGCAGATTGATTCAGGCAACGTATAAAAAAACTCATACATTGTTTAATGTGTTGCTTTTTTTTAACTATTAGAGCCCAGTTTCAGATAAGTGACTCTCTGTTAGCAAACAACCACAGTTACAAAATAATCCAGAATAAACCCTGTTCAGATTGATATATCTCAACCTCTAACCTGTTAATGTCAATAATTAGCCTTCTGACATTGAAAACCCAAAAATCAGCTTTAATGATTATTTCAATATCAAAGGAGACAAAGTGTCCAATCAAGCCGGGTGACATCATCCCTAATGAATCAGATATGGTGCCTCTGGCAGTGTGGGTTGGCACCAAATACTGTTGGGAAACAAAGGCTGAATCTCATCATGTTTTTTTAAGCAGAAGGAAACATTAAGTGCTCCTAAACTCCCTGGTAGATGGTCTAACAGCACTGAGCAACAGTCCAGTCCTGGTTCAGGAGAGGCTAAAGAAAAGAAATAAGACACTGATAGCCAACAGCTGTGTTCAGCTGGAATCTAAACCCCTTTAACCTGCACCACTCCCTTAAAAACATTTTTTTCCTTCCACTCAACTTTCCATTTTAATATCATCCATTCTTTAAATTACCACCTTTCCCAGTTACAGCAGACTAAAATATAATCATAGTCTCCATTACATTGTGATAATAATAAAAAAGACATTCTATGTTTTTTCACAGCCGTAAGATTCAATTAATGGAAGCTTATTGTTTCGTATTCCTAAATAAACAACACATCCTTGCGGTGAGAGGTACTTACTTCTCTTCCTCCACTCTTTCTCATACTCCTCTTCTTCATCAGAGTCTTCCTCTGTTGCCGGGAAACGGGAGAAACCACTCGGAGCGGCATTCTCATGTCTCTCTTTCCTCCTCCTGAAACACAGCAGCTCTATTCAGCTGATCCCCTTGTTTTAAGCAAGTGAGACAATATTTTATTTCATTCATTTACTTTTCTCTCTCTTCAATCTCCTTCAGCCGCTCCTGCTCCCTCTTTCGCTGCTGTTCTTCTCTGTGACGCTTGACCACCTTCTCATAGTCGTTGGGGAACATGGGGTCGTACTCGTCGGCCAGCGGGATCAGCACGTCTCCTGAGGAGAAACCGCTGGGAACGGCATCCTACGGGAGCCACAATGAGACGTCACGGATACGTGGGAAATGTTTGAATCCAGACTAATCACATCTAAAGGTGACAAAAATGAGGCTGACCTTTAGTCCAACAGCAGCGTGTGGAGGTGTGTCTGTGTTCAGTCGGTCGTCGCTGGAACCTCCTCTCTTCAGATCGATAACCGGCGCTAAAACGGTAGTCTGCTTCATACGCTGAGTCTGTCAGAGAACCACACCGTCACAGAAGTCAGCTGTACGACTTTAAAAGGTATAAATATTCTTCCAATGAGCTTTAAAATTAAACGCTCGTCCTCGTATAGATATAACTGGAACTTATGCATCAGTTCAGCACAACAGGGATATCTTTTCTCTATACCAAACACGACATGATCTACAATCTTCATGTTTTCTCTCCAAACATTACAGCTACTTTGCTTCAACTCCAAGGTGATTTTCCAGCAGCTGACAAATTCTTCCCTGTGGCTCATTTTGCAGAAGCTAATGGATACTTCCCTAAAGCTTAAATGTTACTTTCCACAAAAGTAATATGATAACTTAGGGAACCTTATTCAAGTCAATTCAGAAAAACAAATGAAAATTAAATATTACAATAATATTTTTTTTTAACCAGATGTTGAGGCTGTAGGCAGGAAGGATCTTCTGCAGCAGTCTGTCTTCCATCAGATCTGAAGAAGCCTCTGACTGAAGAGACTCTGTCGTTGCTTAATAATCTTCTGAAGAGAATGCCCATGTTGTCCATCATGTTCTTCATTTGAATTATTTGTAAAATAATCTCCAGTGGTTCTAGAAGTGTTACTAGATCAGAGCTCGTCTTCTGTTTTAGTTTGTTGAGCTTTTTAAAGTCATTAGCTCCGATACTGTTACCCTGGCAGAAGATGGAAGAAGAGATCAGTCTCCACAACAGACTAATAGAAGATATGAAGCTTTTGCAAACGCCAAACGGAAATACAGTCTGCTCTGTCCCTTATTATAGACGGCTACACAGTTGTGTCTCCAGTTGAGTTTGTTGTCCAATTTAACACCAAGGTATTTATAATCCTCAACCACCTCCACTTATTCTCCCATGATGTGAACATGGTTCAACTTGTTCCTGTTTCTTCTAAAATCTACAATCATATCCCTTGTTTTGTTGACATTCGGGATCAGATGATAGTTTCCACACCAGGCCACAAAGCTCTTCACCAGCTCTCTGTGATCAGCTTCTTGTCCATCTTTGATGCACCCAATGATTGCAGAGTCATCTGAGTATTTCTGCAGATGACAGGATTCTGCCTGGTATTGGAACTCAAGCGTGTACAGAGTAAAAATGAATAGAGAGAGTACCGTCCCCTGTGGTGCTGCTGTACTGCTGACTACTTAAAAAGACAGGTGACCCTTCAGTCCTGCAAACTGTGGTCTGTTTTTTCAGGTCGTCTTTGATCCAGACAATTGTTGATCTTCTAAGGTTCTCACAAAGTAAGTCAGGCTGAATTGTGTTACTGCACTGGAGAAATCAAAGAACGTGATCCTCACAGTGCTGCCTTGTCTAAATGACAGTGGGTTTGTTGAAGCAGATATATGATGGCATCATCAACTCCAAGGCGATAAGCAAACTGCAGGGGTCCCAATAGCTGCTTGTTTATTTTCTGAGATGAACCAACAGAAGTCTCTCTAGGACATGGGTGTCAAACTGGTTCCAGAAAGAGCCGTGTGGCTGCAGGTTTTCTTTCCAACCAAGCAACAGCACACCAGACTCTAGTCATCTCATCAAGTGAGTCCAATCTGAACATGATGACTTGAAAAAGTAAAACACTGACACAACTACTTAAAGGCAAGTTAAAAGTAAGGTTACCACGTGCTATTGCATCCACACATATCTAAAACATGTTTATAAATATGCATTCTGGGTAATGTGATGCACATATCTTCTTCGTAAATAAACCATCCGATCTATTACAATAATATAAACTCCTCTGTGCAGCGTGGTCGCCCACCTTGGCCTGAGTCAGGGCCGCTTTCTTCACTTTCAGCTGAGATTGGAGCAGCTTGAAGTTTTTGGACCAGCCTTCGGTCTTGGTGTCACTGGCACCGACCCCGAGATCATCGTACAGCGACATGCTGCCGACCGGTTTCCTGTAAAAAAACAAACACCGACTGAAGGCTTAATTCTGATTAAGTGGTCTTTAGTCTGATTTAAACTGTTAAGTTAGAAATAAAGGACATGAGAGCAGCAAGCTTGCTCCATTCAGCTCTGCAGAAAGCAGAGCTAACTGAATGGTTGTTATAGCTAGCTAACTGAAGCTAAAGCTAACGTCACTGGCGGATGTTTTTTTTTCCTAAAAGAAAATGCGGTAAAATAGTTAATATCCTAATTAGTTTTTTAAAGAACTTATATTACGCATATGGTCACATTAAGTCTGTTAAAAAGGTCTTAGGGGCAAATTTGATTTACCTCCTCCCCTCGCAACTGATGTCTGATGAAAACAGCGGAAGAACAACAGAAAATAAGACAGACGTTAATGGTTAGCGCCACCTACAGGCTGGAGTACTTAATTTATTTTTCAATAAATGTGCAAACTGATATATTCTTCACAGAATTATGCATATTTTGAAAATTTCTGAACGACATACTACATCTAGAGAGCTTAAACATATTTTTCCCAAATGTAATGTTTAAAAGCCCAAGCATTGAACTAGTTAATACTGTACGTAACCCCTCTGGTACATTTAATCTGTTATTTTAGAGTACTTTTTCTATTTTATTGATTTTGTTTACTCATTTACTTCCCTGCTAAGGGTTATATACTGAATGTTTGTTAATATATATATACAGCTTAACTGAGATACAGAGTAAAGATTCTGAACTTAGAGAATCTTGTATTTGAACATGAGATGATGATTAAAATCTCTGGAGAAAGTTTTGTCACATAAAACAACAGTTTAAAAATAAGGATGAAGATGATTTTTATAACCTTTGTTGTTATTATTTTTATATTAGCTTACTATTAAAGCAGAAATAAAGTTGATTGACTTACCTTGTAGCCCCAGCAGGTGGCATTTGGGTTTCATTTAACTGAAACCTTAACAGTTTTTTTTTAACCAAATAGAAAAACATGTTGTTTTTTTTGAATAGTCAGTATTTGATACACACACACACACAAACACACACACACACACATATATATATATATATATATATATATATATATATATATATATATATATATATATATATATATATATATATATATATATATATATAAATTATAAATAATACATTTTTATATATATATAGTTATATTTACTTCAGTAAACATAACTATTACCTGTGTAACATCCACTCAAGCTCTTATGAAAAGTCTAATTTTCATAATTTTTTCTATTTCCTTGAGAACAGCTTTATCATTTTTTCTTCAATTTTGCAATTTACTTATTAAGATAAAGTCTCTTTTTAATATATAAACCCTTAGAGTGGCTTATCGGGCGCATCATTGATAAATAACTAAAAGAACTACAAATATGGCGTTGTTTGGTTTCAAGCCCGTAAGTGATCTCGCTCTATGATCTCCCTGACATTTCCTTATGCGCAGATTAATTTTAGCGAAAGTGAAAGAGCAACAGACGGCAGGCCAAGCAGCGGCAGGAGGTCTCTCTCTGATCATGGTATTTACGGGTTTCTACGGGGAACATGCAGTAAACCATCTCAGAGCTGGCAGATGGATCCAGATCGATTCTTCACTCTCTGTGTCTTGATAGCCTGTGTTCTCGGAAAGACGCGTCTCAGCGGTGCAGGTAAAAACTCTTTCATCTAATGTCTATATTTTATTACAAAATAGAACGATTTCAAACCTACGTAGTATTCAGAATAAGAATATTTTTACTATACCCAAATGCAATATTTATCATAATTGGTTCAATCCTAATAATTTTCCTTACTTCCTATATGGTATGACATGTTTATTTCTTTCAGTGTATAACAATCAAATGACAAACTAGTTTTCCATACTTAAGCTGACTAATTTACTATCTTACTAACCATCAGTGATTGGTTTCCTTTTTGTTGTTGAACTAAGTGAATGGTAAATTGTTTTGTTTTAGATTTTCCTTAAAAGTTGCTTTTTTTCTTTCCTTCAAGGTTATTAAAAATGTGCTTTGAAATTATAGGGCTGAAAAAAATGAATTGTGATTAAATTAATTGAAAAATTCATTAACTAATAGGTAAACAAATCTAATTATAACGTAAACAGGCTCTGAAACATGTAATCGGCTGAAAGAATAACCTTCTTACAGCAGTAATAAGTAAAACGTACAATTATAAACTATAGACATTTATAATTTATAAGAATTTGGTGAGTACAATACGTATCACGATGTGATTTATCCAGATATATCCAGATAGATGTTAAAAAGAGGATTTATTGCGATCATGTAGGGCTGCTATAAATATATTATATTTTAACTGATTTTAGCAAATTTGAATCAATACCAATATAGTATGATGAAATATGGTAATATTAATCATTTGAATCAATAGGTATTTCATCTAGTGAAATTATATTAGAACCACTTTTCTGAATATGAGCATCTGCAGCAGTGCTTAGTGCCATTTAAAGCTCCACATATTCTCTGTAACTGCACTCTACCTGCTTTCTGTCTAGCAGCAGCACCTGTGCTCTTCCTCCTCTATCCTCATCATCAATGCGCTGTATGCCCAACTTCACTGCTTCCTGAACTTTTGCCAGCTCCTCTGCTTCCTTTCTTTCAGGAAACAGTTGTTGTTTAACCTTTAGTGTTTAACTGGCTTGTCAAGTTGCAGCAAATTCCCACTGTTTACCCACAAATATAATTTTTCATGTTTTGGATCTTTGTGGCGCTAAAATAACTCCTGAACGGGATATCTCTCCAGCTCCCCTGCAAGCTGTCAATCATGTTTCCCCGCCCACTCCCATTGGGGGTCAAAATCTGAAGGTTAAAAAACTGATTTGAAAGTGTAAAAAAAAAAAAAAAAATCCTGAAACTGAAAAAGGAATGTGAAACTAAAAAAAACAAACAAAGAGAAACTGACAGAAAGGGATTTGAATTTGAAAATCTAAAATCTAAAACTGCAATAAAAAAGAAATATAAAAAGAAAAACTGTAATAAAATACTAACCTGAATCTAGATTCAATTCTAATAGTTTTATGTTGGCTTTTTTTTTTCAGTTTCAAAAATTTGATAGTACCGGTAAATATCAACTTCTATTTTAGAAGTTTACAAATATTTTGACCCATTTCTGACTCCATACTCTGTGATGGACTGACCAGTTAGGACAGTCAGGCACAGGTGTGTGTAAAAAAAAACAAACAAACAAAGAGAAACAGGGTTTTTTTTATTTAACCCAAAAAATATAAGATGTAACAAGTACAAAAATGGATCCAGAAAAGAGGTCAAAGGAACCATAATTACGGTACTCAAAATATCTGTAACAGAACAAGACTTACTCAAACAAACTGACCTTTAATAAGACAAAGGGGAACTTAAATAGCAGCTGATCAGTCCATGAAAGAAACACATGGGGAAAAACATACAAAAATGTAACTAAAACAAATAAAGTAAAACCCCATTTCCCCCCATAGCATTGACATGGTACGATCCAGTAAAAATCAGCTGGGTCCGAATAAAAAAAATAAAAAACCAGTAAAGGCCCGGAGACATTTTTAATTATAATCTGTAACTTAAACAGAATTTAACACTGAAATAAAATACGTTTTTTATGCATCCATGTTATGCATTGAATTTTTAAATAAAAAATATATGTTAAAAAACTAGAACATTTTTCCATTTTAAAATCTAAAGTATTTTTGAAGTAGAGAACAACAATCATTCAGTTTGGTAGATAGACAATTTCCTGATTCACACATTTTACCAAATATACTCAAAATGTGCAGGGTCATCTCTGAGCACCATTTCACTTTTCTGTCTCCAGTTCACCACAGTTCTTCCAGCAGTCCACTCTTTCTCTGCTCTCTTTTTCTCATCATCTTCTCCTTCTTTCCCATCGCCCGGCTTGCCACAGGTTTGCCTGCTGTTTCTAAAAGTAGCAGCAGCAGCAACCCAGACTGACAGCAGCTTATTGGCTAATTTGTATCACGTGTAGCCTGGTGCCAGACGCATCGGAGGGCTTTACCATATTAACAGGAAAAGCAGCGCAAATGAAATTAGACACTGTCGTCAGACAGCATGTGGTAATTTATAAATGTTTTACATCAGGTTGGGTCCAGATTAGCCAGCAGGTGGGTCCGGATCCAGACCGTGGTCCACTAATCCGTGACCTCTGGTCTTAACTACTTCTAAATAATCATGTTTTATTTACACTATTTCTAACTATGGCCATTGGGTGCCACGAAGATGCCACGATAACATCAGGGTGTCAGGATGCAACCAAGATGCCAAACTGGCTGCAAATGCATTTAGAAAATTTAATGCTGCATTTGTTACTTGACACCCACTTTGTGGTCGTGGCAAGTCATGGAAATAAGTGACCGGTGCCCTGGCAGGTCATGGAAAATTAGTGGCAGGCCGTCTGGCACCTCCTCCCACTGCCATGATTTGTGCCTGCGGTCTCTCCAGGAGACAGTGAGGAAGACATTAGAGACATTTGGGGAGATTAAAGAGCAGAAGAAAGGAGGAAGAGTTTAAAAAGTGGGTTAAAAATATCACTCTGTACTCATGTTCTTAAGAAACAGCTATAGTAAACTAACCTAGGAAAAAATAACAAGTTACAAGAATATTGATACTTTTTTAGCATCTCCCTTAAATTTGCTCAGTCTGACATAATGAACAATTTGTAGTTTCGTTAAATGTCTTCCTTTAGAGTTTATTTTCTTTCTTAGTCCCCAATCCATCCCACTTAACAGTTCCTATGACAAAGATATGTTGTGGTTCATTCTTAGAAGCTTTTCAAGCCTAAATCCTGCTGCCATTTTCCTTTTAGGAAGGAAAGCCTCGTCATTACTCTTCCAAATAACCAAAATGTTGCAAATTTTCCTGAACTTTAACATTTAACAAGCTAACTTAGAACCGGACAGTCTGAAATATTAATTTCTACATCCTGGGGTGAATCTGCAAGTGATTTAATGTATTTTTCTTAAAAAGTTGTATTTTTTTCATTTTTCTTTCAGGAAATTGTTTTTGTCCAAAAATTCCTGAAAAGGCCTTTACTTTACCTGGAAATGGCTGCTTCGGGAAAGACAGCAGATATCGCTACACCTGCATTGAAGGTTATGTGAGAAAGGCTGGAACGTCCAATCTCATCAAGTGCCAGGAGGAAAAGGGTCGCTTTAACTGGACTGTATCTAAACTCGTGTGTATACGTAAGATCTATTTGTTCTCTTTCTGTTTAAGACAAAAATATATCCATCGAACATCTGAAGTTGTTTTAAAATCGCTCAAAGCAATTTGGATCGTGGCTAAAAATCCAACTAGGATATTTTTATTAAAAGATTTTAAGTGATTGAACCTGTTTGCTTCTATCTACATTTATGCTTCAACTGATACACCGGAACTTCCCCATCCTGTTCTATTCTATTCTATTCTATTCTATTCTATTCTATTCTATTCTATTCTATTTAGCAATTTTTTGACTTTCTTACCCTTTACTTAATCAGGTAATATTTTACAAATTTTTAAGCTGAGAGCCAATTTTGAAAGCTTGAAGAACTATTCTGAACTAAAAAAGAGGGAAAAGAAAAACATGTCATCACATGGTAGTAATCTGATGCTCCTTTCTCATGATGTTTTCATAATAATGTGCAACACAAGTCCACAGTCTCTGTGGAGAGTTGTGTCATTCAGGTTGCTTGAAAAAAGAATCAGGCACGCATTGTTAAAAAACACTGATTATCTTGGTAACCTTAAAAAATATTGAAGAGGAATTTATAGTCTGAAATAAGTAAGTTAAAAAGGAAAATCTATTGTGTGAGGGGGCTGAGCTACAGTAAAGCCAAGGAATTTAAATCAAACGTCATACAAAGTAAAACCAAAACCACATCAACGTAAATAAACTGAATGACACTTTTAAGAAGGCTTTCGAAACATAAGCTGTTGATAAGCCACAATAAAATACCAAATACGGTTTATAAACATTCATTGTAAACATTATTACAAACATTATGAAGTAATCCGATGGAATAAATTTTAGTCTAAAAAGCTATCAGCAACAAATCATTTTTAGGTTATTCTTTGTTTACAGCCCTAGGAGCAGCCGGAAAATGTTGAAAGGGCAATATCACAATAGAAATTTTACACATTCAGTAATAAAATGTCACAGGGGATGGTATGGGGGGGGATTTAAGAAGGGGGATGCCAGGAGAAAAATTGGATGCAAACTATTGGTACTCCAACATGCAGGGTAGTACCAATACATTTAGGGGAGTGGCGGCCTGGTGGTTAGGGCATAGAGCTTGGAATCCTGAGGTTCGGAGATCGAGCCCCACTCTGGCAGACAGCCACTCTGGGTCTCTGAGCAAAAACTCTTAAACTCCTGATTATTCCCCCATGCCCAAGGATGGCAGCCCACTACTCCCCAAGGGGATGGGTTAAATGCAGAGGTAAATTTCCCCAATGTGAGATAAATAAAGTTCAGTTATTATTAGGGAAGCACATATGTCTTTGCTATAAAATATTTATTTTATGTTGAAAGGCTTAAAAGTCTTGTCATATCCACTCCAAGAGCGTATCTCATCTCTTCTAAATAAATTTCTTTTCACAGGCATGGATGAAGAAACGCCATTTTTGGAACTAGAGAACAAACCAGGAGTCTGAATGAACAATGCGTCAGAGTCTGGATGATAATGTGTAACTCGGATAAAACGTGACGTGACAGGCTACAGATGCTCTAAAAAGTCATATCTGATTAATACCACATATGGAAGTGGCACAATAGCGATATTTTTGAGATGGGTCACATATGGTTTGGTCGCCTTTGGGTTTTGGTCCTTGCTAGTAGTGCTGTTGTTTTTAGCAATGCTTTTAAGCCTGATATGTGTCGGAGATCAGTTCTTGATAAATTATGCATCAGTTATGCACAAGTTACTCATAGATTTTGGATAAGCTAGATGCCACGACTCATGAGTCACTTACACTTAACGTATGTCAACGATCAGATAACATCCCTGTAACCTATGCTCCATGTATGAGCAGACGCTGGGGTACGTCAGGAAATATGAAGCATCCTCAACATTTTTCGACATGTACCAGCGTGCTTCAGCATACTTCAGCGTGCTCGTAACTAATACAAAATGAACCTATAATTTATCCAACGTATGCAAGGGTTTTTGCAAGATTTTCCGTACGTCAGACATGCACTGGTCTAAATTGTCAAGGCGTGACAGGGGCATTATTACCTGTGTTAATGGCCACCTTTTGGATATTTGGTGGATCAGTGGTTCTGCCAGCAAATGACGCAGCAAAGTAATTTCCCTCTGGGATTATTAAAGTATTTCTGATTCTGATCTGTTAATGTTAGCTCATTGCACGGATGCTGCGGTTCTATTTAGGCTCAAAAAGGACACTCTCAGGAACGAAGCTTGGGATATTGTTAGGATAATTATCATTGAAGATGTGTGAGTTTATCACATCCTGGTATAGGCTGCCTGTTGCGTGTCAGAACTGACATTTTGATCTAATTAGGGGGTGTAAGCTGCCGTTTTGAAACCCTAAGAAATTTCTCTGATCTGAGTAAGATTACAATTACTATCTGAATCTGTTGTCATGTCTCCTGGCTATTTAATACATAAAAGTTATGAAGTTTTATTTAAAGAGTTTGTCCCAAGTGATCTCTTTTCAGGGAAAAGAACCAGAGATATAGAGCATCAGGGTGCACACACAGAGCCTATCTTTAATAATATATGGCCTTAATTTATCATAATCAATTGGATTTTGGTCTTTTTGGTAAAGGCATATAATCTGATAATGCACCTTTTAAGTTGATGAAGACACTCTCCTCTTTGCTTTTTTTTAGGAGACCCAAAGCTTCCACCAATGGACTCAGGTATGAAATGGTTTTGTTTTGTGGATGGGTGGGGTAGTGGGGGTACATTTGTCTTTCTAACAAAATGTACCCTCTTCTGTCAAGGCAGTTATATGCATTATATATATGTTTACAGACAATGCAAACTACTTATAATTCTTTTTTTAAACTGTCTTCAATTTTGAATTTATAAAAAGGAAAAAAAATACATCAACAACCAAACAGAACAAAAGGACATGCACAAAATATAAGAGCTGTTATCTGCCTCGTGCAGAATATGAGTGCATTTTGTTTACATTAACTTGCAAGGGCTGTGTAAATATCATATGCTCATACCGAAGGGTCAAAGATATGTCAGAACAGGGTCCCTGTGCAGTCTGGGATAGTCTCATGACATTTAGGAATTTCACTATCGTTTTCAAAGTCTGGATGTATTTAAGGAAAATTAAAGTACTACAAAAAAGACAAAAGGGATGGGAGACCGACAGATTAGGACTTATGGATTATTGGGAAACTATTACTTCAAAGCTTAAAAGGCCTGTTTGAACCTTTAGTTCTTAAATGAATGGTAAATTACCAAACAAAGCATTTAACCCTACATTTTTTTATTTATATTTTTTCAAGAATTGTCGTGAGAATCTAGATTTAAAAAAATGCTTGTTGTAAAATCAAGAGATGGCAGATCTAAGTTGGTTCAGCTGACAAACATATCAGTAGCTAATGTTGTACCAGTTCATAGTTAAAAGAATGAGCTCAATGTTCAGTTCACATAGATGAAAACTTTTATAGTTTTTTTTTTTATTAACAAAGTTCACGAACCTATAAATGAACTAGTTCAAGGTCATTTGGTAAATTAGGCCACATTCCTACACAATAGAACCTCATATTTCACCCTTTAAATGTGTGATCAAAATATATAGAAAGAAATGGAAAATACTTGATGCAGACAAGGTATGCTAGCCTTTATTTAACCCAAATTACACAAAACTTCAGAAATATACAGGAACAATCAGGTTCTGCTGAAAAGATCTGGATCAAAAATGATTTCTTACGAAAAAACTTCCTAATATGGTGACTTTTTAAAATATATTTTGGAACTGTGAATAAAGAGAGTAAAATCACCGACCCATCAAGGAGGTGAATATGAACGCGTTTATGATAACAATACTAAAACTCACAAAATTAGAGCATTTGAGTGAGTGAGTGATGCTTCTTTCTCATGGTGTTTTCATAATAATGTGCGGCACAAGTCCACAGTCTCTGTGCAGAGTTGTGTCATTCAGGTTGCTTGAAAAAAGAATCGGGCACGCATTGTTAAAAAACACTGATTATCTTGGTAACCTTAAAAAAATAATGAAGAGGAATTTAAAGTCTGAAATAAGTAAGTTAAAAAGGAAAATCTATTGGGGGGCTGAGTTACAGTAAAGCCAAGGAATTTAAATCAAATGCCATACAAAGTAAAACCAAAACCACATCACTGTAAATAAACAAATGGTAATCAAAAGGTCTTAAAACTAAATTTATAAACCATGATAGGACCCACCAGAAATAGATATTGGTGTCAGAGGGTCTATTAAAGTCCCTTTTAAACTGAGTTTTTATTTTTTTATGTTTAAAGGTCATAGTTGATACCTCAGCAGTGTTTAGTGGCAGCTTACTGTCTGAATTTAAACACTTTAAAGAAGGCTTTCGAAACATAAGCTGTTGATAAGCCACCATAAAAGACCAAACACGGTTTATAAACATTCATTGTAAACATTATTACATTATTACAAACATTATGAAGTAATCCGATGGAATAAATTTTTGTCTAAAAAGCTATTAGCAACAAATCATTTTTAGGTTATTCTTTGTTTACACATTCAGTAATAAAATGTCACATTTATTACTGAATGCCACGAAGATGCCACGAAGAAGGGGGGGGAGTCATTTAATAGGGATGATTTTTAAGATTGTTTTTAAGAAGGGGGATGCCAGGAGAAATATTGGACGCAAACTATTGGTACTCCAACATGCAGGGGAGTACCAATACATTTAGGGGAGTGGCGGCCTGGTGGTTAGGGCATAGAGCTTGGATTCCTGAAGTTGGGAGATCGAGCCCCACTCCGACAGACCAAAAACTCTTAACCCCTGATTGCCTCCCGGGTGCCCAAGTGGGCTGCCCAAGGATGGCATGCCAAGTGCCATGCCACTTGGCATGGTAGCCATGAAGACACTCTCCTCTTTGCTTTTTTTAGGAAGGGGTGCACACACAGAGCCTATCTTTAGTAATATATAGCCTTAATTTATCATAATCAATTGGATTTTGGTCTTTTTGGTAAAGGCATATAATCTGATAATGCACCTTTTAAGTTGATGAAGACACTCTCCTCTTTGCTTTTTTTTAGGAGACCCAAAGCGTCCGACAATGGACTCAGGTATGAAATGGTTTTGTTTTGTGGATGGGTGGGGTAGTGGGGGTACATTTGTCTTTCTAACAAAATGTACCCTCTTCTGTCAAGCAGTTATATGCATTATATTTATGTTTACAGACAATGCAAAATACTTATAATTCTTTCTTTAAACTGTCTTCAATTTGAATTTATAAAAAGGAAAAAAAATACTTCAACAACCAAACAGAACAAAAGGACATGCACAAAATATAAGAGCTGTTATCTGCCTCATGCAGAATAGGAGTGCATTTTGTTTACATTAACTTGCAAGGGCTGTGTAAATATCATATGTTCATATCAAAAATGATTTCTTACGTTCCTCATTCAGTAGCAGATATTTCCCAAGATAGCTCTGATGCTTTACCTCAATATGTCGCTTTAAATTTGAAGTGAGTGTGGCTGAAGTGCAGACTTGTTTATTAACTCACAGTTTGCACAAAAATGTGAGGTTTTTTTTGTTTGTTTTTTGTCCAAGTCTTCCTTTCTTTATTCATAAAGTTCCAATGAAAAACATTGTTATCAACAGGGCCGTAACCAGGATTTTTGAAATATTGCGATAAATCATACTTGGCGAAAAAACTTCCTAATATGGTGACTTTTTAAAATATATTTTGGAATGGTGAATAAAGAGAGTAAAATCACCAACCCATCAAGAAGGTAATTATGACTGTGTTTATGATAGCAATTCCAAAACTCACAAAATAAGAGTGAGTGAGTGTGAGTGTGAGAATGAATGTTAGTGAGTGAGTGTTATTATTTTTCATATATTATTATCATCATTATACTATATTATTATTGTTGTTGCTGTTATTAATATTGAATTATTATTACTACTACTATTATTATTGTTACATTCATCACCATGCATTGACATGTCCCACTAAATGAATCAAATGACTTTCAATGTGGACTTTATTTTTTTTTAAACAAATGAGAATGCATGCTGATATTTACACCAATCAAAGCATATAGTTTTGACATTTCTCTGAATTAAAAAAAAATAATAATAATAATAAAAAACGGGGCTGTTTATCAACTGATCGCGAATGTGAGCTGCGTGTGCCGTTCATTATTCTCAATTATCTCTCACTTTCACGTCCTTTTAAGTCCTTACCTCATACCAAATAAAAAAAGCTTTGAATTTGGACTTTTGCATTAATAACAATGCATCATCAACATACAGTGTAATTTAGCGGTTAGGATTTATTTCCTGCAGATTTTTATGCTGTTTTACATTGAAATAACTGTGAAGTTGATGGATAAATTGTCTTATCGTTTTGCTGTTGATCAGGTTCTACAACTCAGGCAACAGCCCTACTAGGTAAGAAACAATCTATAAAATCTTGTCATATAAAACCTGTGATTGCTTTAAATGACTATTTCCTAACTTACAGAGAAAAGCTGTTGTTTAATAACTAATTTACTTCTACAGTCATTTTGTTCTACATCTGAATGAATGTTACCAACTTTATGAGAAATAAAAGCAGACAGAAATAACGTGTTCTGAGATATATTTTAATTAATAACATAAAAGAAGATTTCTGAATGAGTCAAAGCTAAGACAATGTTCTTTAAAATCAATTTCGCTCTAGTTGTGAGAATTTGTAATTTTAACAGAAAATATGAATGTTTTTTTAAACAAATATTTTAAATAATAGTCATTGTACCTAAAACCAAATAAGCTGTTTTATATTTAATTAAAATTTAGCCTTTTATTTTCCCTTAATTTTTAGTCAAGTTCTGTCAACTAAATCTTTCTGCAAGTAAATTTAAACTTGAAGAAAATATTACGCTTATAGACGTATTTCAAAAAGTGTCCTGGCTATTTAACTTTAAAAAGTGGTACACAGGAGCACAGGAATGTAAGTTTCTTCACCAGTATTTACATCCTTTTCTGTGATTATTATTTCAGTAGAACTGAGTGGAAAGTTGTTTTGGTTTATTTAAAAAAAAGGAAGTGGAACAAATTTGTGATTAAAACACCTTGAACCACAAGTATGCTTAAAATATCACTTAGAAAAGACAAGTTTGAGGAGCCTCGGTTGCCACAAAGGAAAAAAGCTGAACCACCAAAATGTTGTCATCCTTTCAAGTCCATGTACATATTTTGGTTTGTTTTGGAAGTCATGATATTTAAAGTCCTCTGTATCATTGATGGATGAAGTACTCAACAGTAGTACTAGAGTGAAAGTATTAATACTCATGGTCAAATCTTACTCAACTACGAGTAAAAGCTACTCAGTCAAACATCTACTCAAGTTCAATTATTGAAACACTAGCTTTGGAAAATACTTAAATATTCAAAAGTACATTGATTTAAAAGTACTTAAGTACTCAACAATACAAATTAAATGTTGTAATATCAGTACATTTCTTTATAGTTTTACAAGTAACTTTAAAGAACCTTGTAACTTTCAGAAACCACCTGATGTATTGATGCGTAGAACCATAAATTCTTTCCAGACCACCTGGAAAGAACTTCAGCATAAAAACGGCACAAAAAACAAGGACAGCTACCTAAATTATTATTATTATTATTTAGAAACAAACAAAAAAAGAAAACAGGAGAGTCTCGATTCTCCTCACTATTCATAAACTACTAATTATATCAGCCCTGAGTTTCGCACATTTGTGGAATTTCATGTCGCGTCCAAATTCAGCCCTGAGGGCAGCTATCCCACATGATGAAATTGCATCTCAAGAAAGAGAAACAGCAACAGCGGTTTACAAACCTAAGCTGAGCCAAAAGAAATAAATAGAAGCTTCCTCAAAACATAGTGGAGTAAAAAGTACAATACTTGACTTTGAAATGTATTGGAGTGAAAGTCATAAAGTGCCCACCCAAAAACTGGCTCAAGTAAAGTAAGGATACAAAAAAAAGTACTTAATTATAGTAATAAAGTAAATTTTCTCCATTATTTTCCACCACTGCTCCGTATTTATAGAACTTGGTAAATTTAAAGCAGTATTCTGTTAGGGAAATTAAGCTTTTGGAGTTTTGCAGTAAAACACAATAGGGTATTTTTGGCTACAAGCATATTACTAAAAGTGTGACAGTGTAGTTTCAGTCTGTGCAAAAACACGCATTTTTTATTCCACATAGAGGGAAATTGCGTCTTTGTATCAGCCTGATCTTTTCCCTATATTTGATATAAACATGTTGGTCTGTATGGTAAATAAAGTTTGTTTATTCTTTTAAACAAGTTTACCTTGACCTCTTGCCTTATCAGATCGTTTCTGCTCAATCTTTTTTTTTTTTTTTTTTGCTGTTGTTTGGTTGAGCTGGGTTCAGTTTGGACATAACTTTAATATATTTATCTTTTCCATCCAAAACTGAATCATCGGCCTGGATAAATAATCTAGGGCCATATGGCAATTGGATCCCCATGATCAAACATACACTATCATACATTTTGTTCCTGTATTTTTGGACTTTATCACATGATCATAAAACCTGAACTAAATTACCTTCTTCAGATTTGCATTGCCAACAACCTGATGTGGGTGTTGGCGCAGTTTTTACCAGCAGATGATGAATATGTCATTACCTGGAACTGGAAGTTATAGCTAATGATCAATGTCATTCTAATCAAGGGTAAAACCAGGTAATGATCTTTAGTTAAATGATTATAACTGACATTTTGCTCAATTGCTAGGTGTTATTAACTGCTTACCTTTGCGGCTGAACGTTTCTGTTAAATCCAACATGTCTTCACCATGAGTAAATGCCGGTAACTTGGTTTATAATTCAAGCACACTTAGTAATCATTAACCACAAGGCATATATGTATTTCTGTCTATTCAATTTGTCACTGAAAGGAAGTAGGCTCTGCTCTTTTTATAAAACCAGTCACTGCTGTATAAATAACCACACACTACAACAATTAAAACAGAATGGGTGCTTTATTTATTGAACATAATCCCTTTTTCATCCACTAGACGTTCAGAAACTCATTTAACATGGCGTAACCACTATATAGTGCCCTATATACTGATTAGGGTGGACATTCGGATGTGACAGAAATAAGATGTTTATAAAAACGATGGGTACCATGGCAACTGATTTTATCGGCAAACACAGCTAATCCACATCTAATCTAACAGGCCAAAACACACTACTGCAATCGGGCTAACCCTGATAGATCAGCAGCAATGGTAGGATAATAACCACAGGAAAGGAACTACAAGATGTCGGACTGTCCCAAAATCGTCATAAATATCAGCTACACTGCAAAAAATGGAAATCTAAGTAATTTTTTCTTAAAATAAGTGCATCTTTTCTCAAATTGAGGACAAAAGTGAGACACTTTGCCAATGGGACAAGAAAATTTACATTTAAAATAAGGAAAAAACAATTGCATTGTCTTATTTCAAGTTCATCTTATCTAAGTATCTTATTTTATGAGTAAAGATACTAATTTCATTGGCAAATCATCGTATTTACCTACTCAAATTAAGGGTAAACACACTTAATTTGAGAAATTTTTTACTTAATTCTTGATAGTTTTTGCAGTGTATAAACCAAGCTGACTTTCACCAGATGGCCGACAGACTCACACGCATTCGAGTGGCAGCGTGTGTAACAATGTGCATTCGGACTGGGAGAAAAGTAAACAGAGACAAACGACAGAAAACACAGACAAGAAGATGACAAAAGAAAGATTAGGACTGGAATGGCGGCTGTAAAATCAAAAACACATCATTTGAATGTTTGCCATAAACATCAGCAAAAATAATTCAGGAGATCCTTTTAATAAACTTATCAGCATTTAACTATTATTTTTACTTGCCCAGGCAAGGTACCCATTGAATTGTAAAGATTCTTAACTTTCTGCTACACTATGGGAGAGGAGAGGATGGGTTATGTATTGAGTAGCTGTTTCTGCCAAATTTCAGCACACAGCTGTTTCGAAGAGGGATGTAGTCCTTTTGGCAGCAAAAATGGACTACGCCTCCTGAGATTGCACCACGTGTAACGTGATGTCCAGCTGGAAGTTCAGGTTTCTCCATTACATCCAGACTGAGGTCCAGGGAAAGGGGTTGTCTCTGTGGATTTAAAGAGGCTGCAGGGCACAATTCAGGATGTGATGTCAGAGGGACAGGTTGCATCAAAACACAGCCGTAATCTGACACCCACAGTGAAAATGTTCTGATCCGTAACATATTAGTAGCCCTAATCTCGATAATCTGGAAGGAGTCCAATAATAACGATGTATAATTTTAATCTGAATGTCAAGAATCCTCTCATTAACGTTTTAGACACCAAACTAGGGATACAGTTGCTGCACTTGCTCAGCCAGTGTGCTGCAAATAAATTTCAAGAAATTTTCTAAGTTTTATTCAACCGATGTTTAGCAATAAGTCTGACTTTAGAGTAAGAAAATCCAGGAAGAATTAGTATTTTCTTTCTCATCAAGAAGCAGCCAATCAGACGTTAGGTTTTCTATGGAAGTGGGTCCAGTCCCGCCCACTGACGGTAATGGGTGACGTTCTGTAGTGAAAATAATGTTAATAAATTAACTTAACAAAGAAAAAAAATAAATAAATAAATTTAATCAATTATTGTCATAATTTAAAATGCATATAAAATTATTTAATGGCATATTACATTATTCACCTCTATATTTCATTTAATAGTACATTTAGCTTTTTAATCCTGTATAAAGTAAATAAAACATATATTTAATTATTATTTAATTGTTTATTTATTTCATTTAACATTGATTATTTCATGATACATTTATTTATCTTATTTTTATTTTATGATAAATGCATTTATTAATCAATTAAATGTTGTCTCTTTTTACCCTCCATAGGTCTATGATAGTAGAAGTATTGCAATTTCTAATTTACTGCAGTTGACTTATTTTGTAAAGCAAGAAAGCCCCAGTAATAAAGTTAGGGAACCGCTGCCTTAGGACACAAATTGTAGGCAAACATTTTTGGGAAGGTTTATGTTTCATTTTAATTTGACACGTCCAGGCTTCCTTTGTTTGTTTGTCAGTCATTTCTTCATATTTGAAGTAAAAACAGAATCAATGCTGAAATACAATCAATAATACAAGCTGAGCTAAAATAAATCTGGAGCTAATTATAAGGCTATTTTTCATTGGGATGCGGTTGATCCAGATGTGACCGAAAACTATTTAACTGCATTGTATGTTTCTTGCCAAATGCTTATGAATTACCACTGATTGTAACAAAAATAAATATTGTTGAGTTTGTTTTGTTTATTTTTTGCTTAAAATGAGCTTCAGATGGTTAAAGAATCAGGAATGCAGAGAAATAGTTACATTTTTTCTTTGCAGAAACGTCTACAAGCCATCAGTCTACAAGAAACTCCACTTCTAAGGCTAACATGCACCAAAGCACATCAGGTAAGAGGCAATAAATCCAGTGTGTGTTGTCATCTGCAGCTGTCTGTGTTTACATTTTATTGTCATGGTTTTTTCATATCAGTGCCATATTTTGTTTTGAGTTTCTCAGAAGTTTTCCTTCTCGGTGCATTCTGGTTTAAACTCTTATAGAGGTGTCAGTCCTTATCTTTTGCTCAGTCAGATCCTTCTGTTCACATGCCCCAAATCCTGCATCCTCTCACAACCTTGTTTAGATTCCCCCTGTCAAACTCTGCTGGTTTTCTCACGTACAGAGATTTATCTGTGTTTTTCCTTATTTTCTGTAAGTTTATCAGATCCCACATATGTCTGCCTCTGACCTATTTCCATGTGTGTCCCTACCACCTAACTACATACATGATATCTAATGTAAAAACAAAACAATGGTGAAGGACATTAGTATGTTTCCTAAATCTTTATAAATATGGGTATTTTGACCTTGTGAGTGGAAATGTATATAGGAAATGTATATTTTAATGTATCAGCAAATTCCACTGTATTGGACATTGTAGTTAAAAAAAATCATGTTTTGGGCCTAAAACTTTTTTCATTTGGATTTTTCTGAAAAACTAAGAGTTACATATAGGGACAAAAATTTAAGTCAGCATAGCTAATTGTAATCTTTATCTTCATTAATTGGTTTGCCAGAATTTTTGTGTTTTTCTTGAGAAATGGGGGAAGACTGAGTTTTAGAGTTAGCTTTTCAGTTAGAGGCTCAATGTTCTGTGAATGTTCAAGTTAAAGAATAAAAAAAAACACTAATAAAGAGTAGATGTGGGCGATACCGGGAATTTTGTATTGATACGATTCCAAGTAAATACAGGCTCAGGATCACCGATATCGATACGATGCCGATACTTTTTACATTTAAACTAACTGTTGACCTTTCAGTGTTTTTGTAATTTTGACTTTTTTCTCAGAATTCTGACTGAATTCTGACAATAAAAAAAGTCAGAATTCTGAGATTAAAGTGAAAATTCTGACTTTTTTCCCATACTATACTGAAATAAAATAAAAAAAATCTCTTAACTTTTTTTTTTTTTTTTTCAGTGGCCCTAATCCTCTTCCGTAGAAATTAGTTAGACTGATGTCAAAATAATCAGTATCGATATCAGCCCTAGCAGTACTGCATCAGTCAGTCTCTAGTTCTGACCTCCTGGATGGTCGACCTGCTTCTAGAGTAATTTTGGTGAGCTGGCCACCAGTGCTACATATTTTCTCCATTTGTAGTTATAAACTTTTCCTAAATCCTTACCAAATCGTTTGTCTACAGTCTTAATATCACCTGACTTAATACATTAAGTTTAATTTTAAAAAGTCCCAAAAAGCCTTTTAGGAATGACGCATAAAATGTTGGTTTCTGCTGCTTCTTATTCTCAGGTGTGGCAGTTTGTTAATAAACATTACAAAATCTTTTCTTTTTCGCATGCAGGAACTGGAAGTACGACAACAGGGCAGCCCTGTACAAATTCAAGCTCTACACACTCACCAATGGAAAGGAATAATAAAACCATCTCAACCATAACTGCAGGTAATCCTATATTCCAGCTTTCTGAATGGAATCCAGTTTGATTTGGCTAAACGTTGTTGCCACCATTAATAGTGATCTACAAAGAATTTTGAAATAAATTCATATTTTACTTGCATATTGTTTTACAATCTTCCACCGTGCTTAACAGTAATCATGACAGGATTCTCCGTGTTTTTTTTCTGTTGCTATACAGCAAAAAGTTCTGCATTAAGTTACTGTCACAATGTTATCTATCTTGCCCTGTACTGTGGGTTATTAATGCATATACTACATATTATGTGGTCTAAATATGTGTCCACCCTATGGCCCATTATCGCTTGTAACCTACTGCTTAATGACTGTGGGCCAATGGTATGGAGTGAATTTTGTTCCAATATTCTTGCAAACACTTTGGTAAATAGATATTTTTGATAAAATGCCATTCAGAAATGAAACTGTAAAAGATTTTAATTTAAGAACGGATTCTTTTAAAATATTTTGTGTTAGCTAGATTTTCTTTCAAATTTTAATTTCTCTAAATGTTTTTAACATTGTTTTTTTTCCATTTAATTTCTGAAATTGTTTTACAATTCATCTTCTCTTCCCTTCTTGGGGTGGACTTTCCTCTGGAGTGAGGAGTGAAGGCACATCTCTATTGGTCTGTTGGACATTCCAATTACAAAACAGGTTCTTTGCTGCTGCAACAAATATGGAACAAAATTCACTCCATATAAACAGAAAAGTTATCGATTAAAGAAAAAAAATAAAACAATGCCCTTTATGATTTAAAATGGCAGACAAGCTCTGGCAGTAACATTTAATTAGTTATGGAGCTTGTGTCTAATACCATGAAAATGATTAGCTGTGGTGTGAACAGATGCCTGGCAGTGTTTCCCACAGGATTTTAGGAGACTGGTGGGAGAGTCTCTGACCCTCGGGGGTTTTCATGTGTGCACATTTTTAAGCATGGTGTATCCCACTTAAAGGGGAACGCCAGATTTTTTACATTGGGCCCTTGATTTTACGTTGTTACATCATGTTCTACTCACCCATATGAGTTTTGTGTCATTTGGAGCTGTTCTGAAGATATTCCGTTATTCCGGTTATATCCAAGTGATGTCTTCCTATGGGCAAACGACTTAAAAGCACAAACTAAACTGTTCATAATTTATTCTTTATGGTACACCAGCATTTAAAACATGTAAGCGAATCACTGTCCCCCAGACATCCACGGTTATATTTTTATATTTATATTTTTTTAAAACAAAGCGGAGTGTGTATGACATCATTCGCAAAAGACCATCAGTGCTTCCCATTAATGGGAAACACTGCCTGGTGTTGACCTTCTTGGTGGTCAATATTAGCATGGTGCTCCATGAAGGCTTCAAAGGCCTTTTCTGTTTAGGCTGTGGATAGAGAATGACTGTCGGTTGGTATGTTGGTCTCTTCAGGCTTCTACCTCTTTTTCCCCTTTAGGACTTTAAGTGAAACATGTCAAACTCATTTGTTTTCTTTCCGTCTAACTTATTTCTGGCAGTTAATGGAGTTAATTTTATATGAGCCTGAGGACTCTGGCTCTGTTCCTTTCCACATTTTTTCGCCGCATTTCTTCATGTGAACAAGAAGTTTTATCATCATTGGCAGTGTACTCAGCATTCCTATTCTTCTTTTTAAGCCTCTTGGCATATGTGCCTTTCTGTGAGTTTTATGAGTTTCATCTGCTTTTTTATTGCAAAATCCATGGTTTCTAGTTTTCTCAGATTAAAAAAAATCCATCAGCTAAAATTAAAAGTGGAGTTGAGTCACATTTCATGTTATTAGAAAGAAACAGAATACTTGTAGATTTATGCTGACTTGGTTTTAAATGGCTATACTTTAATCCACTTCCTCTATAGAGGTCAGACTATGGGCCTATTGATTAACTTCTGATGTTTCAGGTCCATGCCAACCAGTAACCAGACAGAGGACACCTCTCACTGCAGCTACAGCTTATCGACATTACAAAATGTGCCTCAGTCGTAATAACAGTACATTTATTTCCTATAACGGATATACAGCAGAGGATTAGGGGCATAAAGAACTCACACACAAAAACAGGATACTGAATCTTAACTTTAATCTCAGAATTCTATTTATTTTACCTCAGAATTCCTTTATGCTCAGAATTCAGCGTATTCTCAGAATTATGGCTTTAATCTGATCATTTCAACTTTAATGTCAGATTTCTGGCCTTGATCTCAGAATTCTTACTTTTATCTCACAATTGTGACTTTTAATCTCAGAATAAAATTTTAAATTCCTTAAGACTCTGTTGTAAAAATCCAGGATTACCAGTTTGAGTAGGAATACTACTAGACAATTTTTTGAGAATGTTTCTCAGATTAAAGCAAGAATTCTGAGAATAAAATCAAAAATCAATATCCTTTTATATCTCTATCTAAACTCTATGCTATGTTTTAATTATGCATCTAATCGATAACTTAAATCTTAGACTTAAACATCTGGAAGATTTGCCAAATAAACAGGTTTAACACACTGATACCCACTCATTACTGCATCCATACAGTGTCTGGCCTGCGGTCAAAATCAAATAATTTACAAAATAATCCTAAACGAGCATTATCTAAAATTATAATCTAATTACAATTAAAATAACTCCAATTGGGGAAAAATTAAAAAGTATTAAATGTGTTTTTTTTAACATACCATCTCTTTCTTCAAAAAGTCTTTTAGTTAATGACTTAATTTGTGATAATCAAGTTGGTTTATGTTGCCTTATAGAAACTTGGCTGCAGCAAGAGGATTATGTGAAATTCTCACTTACCCAAAAATTCTATGCGACGAAGAGTAGCAACAATATTTCAGTCTGACTTACTAATCACTCCTAAGTCAGTTAATAATTACAACTCTTTTGAAAATGTAACGCTTAGTTTCCCTCATCCAAACTGCAAAGTCTTCTTTTTTCTACTTTGTATGGTCCGCCAGGTCCTTACTCCGAATTTTGGGATTCCTATTTGATTTAGTGTTGAATACTGACATGGTCATCATCGTGGGTGATTTTAACATCCATTCTGACATTGAAGGTGATAGCTTAAGATCAGCCTTTAATACTATCTTAGATACTATTGGCTTTGTTTAAAATGTGAATAGACCCAAACATTCTTATCTTCATACTTTGGACCTTGTAGTGATGTATGGCATTTAATGTGAAGAAATAAGAGTATTTCCTGACAACCCTGTCCTCTCTGACCATTTTTTTAAATAACTTTCAGGATTACTTTGGCAGAAAGTATTCTCCTCCCCAAAAGAAGGTTTCACTTTAGCAGATCATTATCAGATAATGCAGTTATAAATTTTAAACAATCTGTTTCACTTTCTCTCTCCTCTGTGTCACTGAGCAGTGCTGCAGAGGGTAAAAGTTTAGTTTATTTCCCTTCAAAGGTTGATGATGTTGTTGATGGGGTTGCTAGTTCTCTGCGTACTGCCTTAGACAACATGGATTATGGCATCTCCATTTTTACTTCTTCGTTAAGTTTTGCAAGAAAATCATCTCTGCCTCTACAGGATTGGATTTTGGTTGTAACAAGTATCCACAAATCCTGACAACACCCAAGCAGTTTTAATGACTCCAGGTAGCAGTCGTTTAAATGTATCCAATAAAACAAGCAAAAAAAAAACACTTATGCAAAGTAAAGCCTCTCATTCCGAGTTAAAATGTGCATCAGAATCCCTCCTATAGCAAAGAACAACAGCGTTTAGTTTGTCTTTTTCACAGAAACAATTCTGAGAGCAAATAACTGATATTATAGAAGCTAACAAGAGGAAGAACTGTATCTGAGCATGTTTTTCTTTTTTCTGTTTGAAGCAGCCCAGAACACCATTGGTATCACTGTATCCATGGTGGTCCTACTTGCTGCTGTTAGTGGTGTTGTCTTCTTAATATATCGAAGGTAAGATGAGCTTAAGAGCACATTTAGCAAATATAAAAGTTTAAATATCTGAGCTGACAAAAATTGTCTTTCGGTTTTTGTTTTCTAGGAGGAATCGACCAACTTCTACACACCACATAGAGATAGAGGAAATGCAACCAATGAATACTGTTTGATCTGAAATCTTGAATTTGTATAGAAGAATGTTAATGGAGGAAGGAAGAATAGGAAACTTTTATTTAATTGTTGACTTAAAATACTGTTAATTCATCTTATTGTGAAATGACTTTTTGAAATCTAGTGTGAAATTTACCATTGTGTTTGCTTATTTAAGAAATGACATGGACAGAAAAAAAGTTTACAAGATGTTAAGTCGTGGCCATGCGTTACTAAGGTGTGGGTACAAGATAGTCAAATTGTTTGCAAGGGTAGCGTAGCATACATTCAAGAAACATGCAGAACTGACATAATTTCATTTTAATTAAACCTTAGAATGAACTATAATGACATCCTGTGATCTCTTGCAATTAAACATTAAGTGATCATTACTAAGATACACTTAATTCAGGTGCTGAAGGCATACGGATTGAGACGTAAAGATAATGCAGACATTGGCCACATTATTGACTTGATCCAGAAGGAGCTGGAAGGACCCAGGAGACTGCATGGTTATAGGTGGAGGCCCGAAAAATGGCAGATGAACATCATCGGGGCAAAAAAGGAGGATGTAAGTGTAGCAAGTGTGCAAAAAATGTTTATATTTCACTCCAAATCCGTTTTGATAATTTATTTTATATTTGTTTTTAAATTGTATTTTATTTTGGCGGAGAAGCTTTTATTTTCTTGTTTCCTGTTTTCGCGTCATATCCTGTGTGTTCCCGCTGCTTTCCTCAGTTCGCGCCGAGCCGCGCTGGGGAGAGGTAAGCATACAGTGTGGTCTTCTATTTGTTTCTTAAAAATATCAAAAATGTATGTTTTATAAACTCACGTTGTTATATACCTTTGGTTAAATGTTATATGTTTAGTGCAGCGCTGTTTTGGGTTTTTAATTCCTACACTGGTGACATTTATTGGGTCTACTGTGCCAATGTGGTTCTTTTCGTTCTTCTCATTTGTTAAGGTGTATGTGTGGGGAAGCCCGAACCCAAGAACTGCTGTCCTGAATTTTCTTTTGTTTTAAACAGGTATGTGAGTTGTTTAATTAATGTATTCAGTATATTTTTATGGAAAGTTCTTTTTATTATTAATTCAATTTGGCCTGAAAGAATTGCAAATATTGGGCAGATTATTTCCGTTTGCATTTTATTTAATTGTTTTGAATGAATGAATGTATTATTTTATTATTTTTGAACCTCTGAGAGGAGTTTAGTTGTTTTGAACACATTCCTGTCTGAGTTCGCGCCGAGCCGCGCTGGGGAGAGGTGTATGTGTGGGGAAGCCCGAACCCAAGAACTGCTGTCCTGAATTTTCTTTTGTTTTAAACAGAATAAACCTGCCCTACTGCTGCAATACACCTATGGTCCTCGTCTGCTGATTCCTTTGACTGTTATACACAACGCAGAGTTCAGATTAGGGCGGCTACAGTGGTGCCGTGACCCGGATCCACACTGCTTCGGACAAGTTCATCGTGGTTCGTGAAGAGTGGATCAACGTCAGCTGGTCACCTGAGGTTGCTTGTTACATTAACACATTTACACAGACTGAATAGTATGACAGAGTTGAACGTGGAATAGTGTTTTGCTCTAGCAAAAAAAAAAAAAAAAAAAAAAAAAGAAAAAAATTGTTTTTATGTAGAGAATAGTGAGAAAAAAAAAAAGCTGAAAATGACTTATGTTAAAGATAAAGCAGACGAGGATAAATGTTCATTGAGTGGTGTTAACTTTACATTTGGGAGAGGGAGAATGATTGAGGCTTTGCCCTTTACCCCAGCTCGAAACACTAATGTTGCAGGCTCTCCAGCCCTTTGTTCTACACGTGTGGTTGAGAATGTATCCTCTAGTAATGTGCACGATGGTGTGGCCCTGGACAATCCCGTTAGTGCTGACCCGCCATTAAGTGACCTTATTACAAGCATTGCACAGCAAGTTGGACAATCTATAATGGATCGTCTTAAGGGTGAATATAGAGAAGGGAATGATATGGGTCTGCAATCTCAGGACGGGGTTGGTCAATCACAGAGTGAACCAACTTACCTCAACTTGACTGGGGCAAAGCTAGTACTGCAGTCAGACGTCAAAGAACCCCCCACATTTAGGGGAGATGGATCTGACAAAAACACTGTTGGTGAGTGGGAAGAGTTAATGAAAATCTACTTCAGAAAACGAGGCACACCCACTAATGAACAGTATTCTGAGATCCTCTCTAAGTTGATGGGAAAGGCTAAGGATATTGTGAGGATAACACTGCGAAGCAGTCCTTCACTAAAGCCTCAGGAAAAGCCGGATATTGTCTACAGCATCCTCAGACAACATTTTAGTGATGTGCCCTATTCATGTATGCCGATGGCCGACTTTTACAACACTGTGCCATTTGCAAGAGAATCGCCTCTTGATTACTGGGTACGCTTGAATAAGGCAGTTGATGCAGCAGAAGAGGGCTTGAAGAGATTAGGGCGGCATGTAGATAACCCTTGCCAAGAAGCAACTATGATGTTTGTGAAACATTGTCCAGACCCAGCTCTTGCTGCTATTTTGAAGTTCAAAGCACCAGACAAATGGACAGCGAGTGAAATTCAGGAGCACATTGATCGTTACCAAATTGAAACCAGAGAGCAGGCATTTTCCAGGTCGAGATATCCTAAATTAGCTACAGTTCATACTCAAGCTCCTGTTCCTGAACCACCATCCTACCATTTAAGAGACATTCCATCACACCAAGAGACTGGTGCAGCAGCCCCGTTACAGTGTAATGACAGCTGCATGAGGACTTTAATCAGTCTTTTTGAACGTACACTCTCACAGAACAGTCAGATTGCAGGCAGGCAAGACTCACCTAGCCAAGTACATCACAAAGCATGCAGGGTTTGTCAGTCTCGAGATCATTCCACCGTCTCACACTGCAAACAGAAACGCTTGTGTTTAGCATGCTTTGAACCAAATCATATCAAGCGAGACTGTCCCAACCGCTCATCTGTCAGAAGCGAGCATGGTCTTCAGTCACAAGACCCTCAGCATTTAAACTAGCTGGCCTGCATGGGATGAGGGGTGGTGTGGGCTCACAAGAAAAGACCCTCAACAATGACATTGAACAGCAATATGAAAAGGCATGTGCAGCAGCACCAGTCGGTGCCAGAGTGATAGCTCAAAACACACAACGAGTTGAGCCATTTGATGAACTGTTTTATACACCTGTGACTTTAAATAACAAGTTTCAGCTACAGGGGATGCTTGACTCAGGTTCCATGGCCTGCACACTGAGTGAGAAGGTGGAACAAATGATGCTGAGTCAGAACTCACTTTCAGAACCAATTCCCCTTTCTCAAGAAATTGTTCTCATTGGTTGTGGTGGGACACTAAGCAAACCCCGCTGTATGTATGAAGTGGAAATGAAACTTTATGGTGAGACATGTGTTGTCCCTGTGTTAGTAGTGCCAGGTCAAAGGGACGATTTAATCATTGGCACGAATGTCATAAGATTTCTCATGCATCAGCTGAAAATTAACAACGATTATTGGCGTCTAGTGTCTAGTCCCAGTCTTCTCCCAGAATGTGAGCAGTTTCTAGACATGATGGCAAGTACTTCTCGATGGAGAGGTGAAGAACTTCCAGAGAAGATTGGCACAGTCAAACTACAACAGTCTGTTACTCTGCTGGCAAGGACTGAACACCTGCTGTGGGGTAAGCTGCCACATAATATCCCCATGTCTCCAGGGAGTACTGTAATCACTGAACCAACTTCATCTAAGTCGATGCCACGTAACATTATGGTTGCTCGCATTATCACTCCTTTATGGGGAGATAGGTGGGTCCCTTTAAAAGTCGCTAACCTGTCAGACAAGCCCATCACACTGAAAAGAAACAGCAAATTGGCAGATGTGTCTCCTTGTCTGGCGGTTGAAGATTTTGAGGTCCTTCAAGGTATCAGCCAGGTTGAAACCACTGCTCCAGAAAAGGGACATGTCGAAGACAGGCCCACAGATCTGAAACTGCGATTACAACAGGTTGGGCTTGGTGATCTTGACATTGACTTATGCCACACTGATGATGCAGGAAAAACAAGGTTGGTCGAGCTGCTTGAGAAATATAACGATGTTTTTTCTAAGCATGCTCTAGATTGTGGCAAGGCAGAAGGCTTTGTGCATCGCATCCGGCTTGTTGATGATAGACCGTTCCGTCTTCCATACCGCCGAATCCCACCAGCCCATTATCACAAGCTGCGTCAAGTCTTATCTGACATGGAGGAACAAGAGATAATAAAGAAATCTGTGAGCGAATATGCCTCTCCGCTTGTGCTAGTCTGGAAGAAGGATGGCAGTCTGAGGATATGCACAGACTTCAGGTGGTTAAATGCAAGGACACTCAAGGACGCACACCCACTTCCACACCAGTCCGACTGTTTAGCTGCTCTTGGAGGCAACACTTATTTCAGCACTATGGATTTGACATCAGGATTCTACAACATTCCTATGGCGGAGGAGGACAAGAAATTCACAGCATTCACAACTCCAATGGGGTTATACGAATATAATAGAATGCCTCAAGGCCTGTGTAACAGCCCTGCCTCTTTCATGAGGATGATGCTCAGCATATTTGGAGATCTGAACTTTAGTAGCTTGTTGTGCTACCTGGACGATCTCCTTGTTTTTGCTTCGAGTGAAAAAGAGTCTCTGGAGAGGTTAGAGGTTGTGTTCCAACGCCTTCGCTTGCACAATCTCAAGTTGAGTCCCAAGAAATGTCACTTTATGAGATCATCAGTGAAATTTCTGGGGCACATCATAGATGGCTATGGAGTGTCTGTCGATCCTGGAAAAGTTGAGATCATTACAAAGATGGCAACGACTGACCTGATGGAGGATGATGGACGCAC